CAGCTTCCACACCGGAGGACTTTGGCATCTTCTGCTTCCTGGATTGTTCTCCTTTAACTGTGTATTCACTGTTTATTTACACAGACATTTTCTAAGGAACTGCAAGAAAGTTTAGTAGGCTTAACTCTGCCTGCTTTCAGTCATTGTATTTATTCTGCTTACTAAGAATAATTTTCTATTGTGCAAACTAATTTTTAATCTTCCTGTGGCCAATATTTGAATTCTGTGGTACATTTCAGGGACTGCACCAGCATTACTAATCCCTGACCCAGCTGTGAGCTGCTAGTGCCACCTGGAGTTTAATAGCTATGCATAAAGCACACTGAATCCCAAAGATGCGTGCAAAAGTATACATACAGCAGCACCAATCTCTGTGCTACGTCTTTGCCCAGTAGATCTCATTTCCTAAGTCTGGACACTCGAAAAGCTCAGTACAGTGAGCTGAGATGGTCAGAAGAGCTCAGAGCTCCAGGCACTGGAAACCTCCGTCCAGGAATGGGCAGCAGAAGCCACTAGGTACTTTAAAAAACCTGATCTCAAACAAGGTTGGTAAGCACTTGAAAAGCCCAGTCTTCAATATTTTTTCTGAAGTCAGCCTCTTGATTGCCCATATACACTGAAAAACAGAGCAAAGTCTACCTTTATATCAACTGCATGAAAACAAGCAGTTACTGAAGCAGCCCATGCTATTTCAGATACGAGCTGTCTCCTAATACCACTTGCCTTTGGATAAAAGTAAATAGAGGTATCCTGGACACCCCAGTGCTAAATTGGAGGCTCACTTAACCAGGGAAGACTGAACAGTTCAACTCGACTACAGCAAAACTGTACCTGTGCTAGCAGAGACAGAGCAGAATAATTTATACAGTCAGTGGGGTCAGTCTTTAGGTATCATTAACCCATTCCCATTGCATTCCCTACCACAAAAAGCAGAGTTTTATTTAGTAGTGCTACAGTAGAAGAGCACAAAGCAAAGAGCATGTTGGAAATATGTGGTATGAGCAGCTTAAGAAATCCAGGTCCTTGGAATCTCCTAAACAAACAGTCAGCTCTTCAGGGTTTTGAGTTTTGTTTTTCTACAGTTTATTCCTGCACATTTAAGAGAAGCCCAAAGACGACCTGAAGCACTGCTAAATACAACTGTAACTTGATAGGGATGACGAAACTGGCTGTCACTGTGCGACATCACGTTTGACCTCCAAGTATTTCCAGAAGTCAACTGCAGTAACACCATGACTCCCCCAACTGCCAGCCTTTGTATTGGTATTGGTGTTCAGTCCAACCATCGCCATGAATAAAACATTTGGCAAGTCGTAGAGTGGTTAAGACTAATGATGGTTAACAACCCAAACACAGCACAGGTCTTTGCGCTATTGCTGTACCGATTTTGTAGCAGCAGGAAAACGTAAAAGATAGTCAGTACTTTATACTCCTAAAATAAGCACAGCTGATACAGGGGACACTGAAGGAACCCCCATGGATTCACACTGGGGTTTTTTTACAGTCAACTTTCCTATTAAAACAGCAACTCAAGACTCTCTCTAAAGCTGAAGAAGGATTTAAATGGACTTCCTGAAAAATCAGGAGCTCTGGAAAGGCAAGCTTCACCATGGACAAGATCCTCCCAGTACCCGGGCCAAGCAAAAAACCTTCCAGCCCGGCAGGGATCGTTTCAAGAATCTACAAGCACCGACAGAAAGCAAATGAGAACATGTCAAGCTGTATCTACTAGTCACCACAGGAAACATGAATATGAAAAGTTTGTTTCTATTTTCAGTTTATTTCACAATATCTACCTAAACAGATGAAATTACTAAAGCATTAACACAGCAAAGTGGTACCACTGCAAGTGTCACACAGAGCCCAAGTACTTCAACTGTCAGCCGCTCTCTCCCTGCTATATTTGTAACTTGGAGGCACTAAATAGTTTGTGCTGTGTTTGTACTTTATGCAAGACTGAACACTGATGGAAAGGGAATCAGCGTTTTCTCACAACACAAAGTTGACTATGACTTGAAAAAGCAACTATTCCAGAGCATCTTTTATAAAGGTATTTGCAACCAGGTAACTACAAGGACTAACATCTATACAACCCAATAGGTGAGGCTATATTTAGCTGAAATTCAACACCAGTGCTAAAATAAAACCATTGTTTAAGCAATATTCTGTTTACCTATATGAAAGTAAATTTGTCTGAAGGTCAATCAAAATAAAGAGTGAGTGTTGCAATAGTCTGAAGAAATGCTGTTCAAAGGCAAACTTCTGTTATGCAACTACAATTTAAAAGAACAGCTTTCTCCTGTATCACTAGTACTGGTTTTTCCTTCTCTTGGGCTAATTATGCCCTCAGGGATAATCTTGAAAAGACACTGAATCTACACCCAAAGCAACCAGTTGTTGCTAAATAAATTAGATTATCTTTTGACTACGTTGCATTTGTTATTTTGGGGGAATGGTACTGAGGGAAGGAGGGAGTAATTTTATTCTTATAGCCACATAAGCCTGTCTTGGTGTGTTATTTGCAGAAAAAAATAACATTATATGCCACGTGAAAAGAGAAAGGCAGCTTCTCTTCTTCACTGTTGAGTGTCCATCACAGAATTAGGTGAGCAGCAGAGGAAAGGAGGGGAGGGTTAGGCCAGGGAGAGGCAGTTGTAACTGTAAGGATACAAACACAACAGTTTTAGGTCTCTGAAAGTGTAAGTAGATCCTACTGGTTGATCCAATGCTGGCACTATCCTAAGTGTCAGAGGAAGGCAGAAATACATACCTACTTATCTGGACAATGAATTCCTGTTCCTGGACATGACAAGGAAATCTGAGTTCTCTGGGGAGCTTGTCTTTGTGTCAAAAAAAATTATGGTAGAAAGGAGACCTTCCCTCCAGCACAGTTTTCATTTTTCAAATGACCACTTTTTATAGACCATTAGAAAAGCACAGCTTCCTCCACTCCCCAAACCCAAACCAATACAGACTGGGTCTGAAAGTGAGCCAGTGTGAAACACTCCCGTGACTACCATGGCACAACACAGAGCCAGCACAGAGCCCTGCACCACAAAAAAAGCCAGGGCAGCATGTCAAAAACCACCCACTACTCTCCTCTCAGAAGTCAGTGCCACAGGCAGTCTCCACAGCCCATCCAGGGTTCCTGTGTCCCGAAACAAAACCTGAGATGTCTGGGGGACTTGGTGCACCCTTCCATGGAGGCAGCAGCCCCTCTGACCTCTCAGAAGAGGGAACTTGCAGCAGATATGCATGCTTACCTCCCTGCTGCCTGTTTCTAGACAGCCCACTTCTGCCAGCCAAATCCACCTGTCTCAAACTTCCTTGCGGGCAGATAGAACAACTAGACTTTGGGATCAAACACAGATGTAGTAACTGCATGTGGTGCTGCTGCACCACTGTGGACATGAAGAGGAGGTAAAGTCATTGCTAAGCCTTTGCTTTATTCATAGAATCATAGAATCTTAAGGTTGGAAAAGACCTCTAAGATCATCAAGTCCAACCGTCAACCCAAGACCACCATGTCTACTAAACCATGTCCCAAAGTGCCATGCCTACATGTTTTTTGAACACCTCCAGGGATGGTGACTCCACCACCTCTCTGGGCAGCCTGTTCCAATGGCTGACCACTCTTTTGGTGAAGAAATTTTTCCTAATATCCAATCTAAACCTCCCCTGATGTAACTTGAGACCATTTCCTCTTGTCCTTTCACTAGTTACTTGGGAGAAGAGATCAACACCCACCTCACTACAACCTCCTCAGAGGTAGTTGTAGAGCGATAACGTCTCCCCTCAGCCTCCTTCTCTCCAGACTAAACAACCCCAGTTCCCTCAGCCGCTCCTCACAAGACTTGTGCTCCAGTCCCTTTACCAGCTTCGTTGCCCTTCTCTGGACATGCTGCAGCAGCTCGGTGTCCTCCTTGTACTGAGGGCCCAAAACCAAACATAGTATTTGAGGTGCAGCCTCACCAGAGCCATTCAGACTACAAATGTAAAGAATGGCTCTTTATTTTACAGCTGTGCTAAGGTTAATGAAAAAACCCAGTGACCAAACATGTCAGATACTTGATGGGCAGAACACAAACGCCAGTGACCTACAAAAGCTCAGGCCAAAGAACGGCTGAGATCCTGGCAAGCTGAGATGTTGGGATCCCACAAGATGGGGGTAGAACTTCAGAGCCCAGCTCTGTAGCCAGATGCCTCCACCACAATAACCAGAAGTGCATTCTCAGAAGCATCAGGAGAGATACTACCGATTTAGCAAGAAACCTGAGCATTCCATTTTCTTTATTACATATCCTAAAGAGACACCAGAAATTAGACTAAATTCCCTTCAGTCTCTAACTAAGCAGCACAGGGAAGCTCACGTCACCCTTCTCCCAGCTCTGCCGCTCAGAACTGAGGCTTCTGAACTGTAGGGCTGTCAGTCTGCCTCTTCTCATGCTTGTCCTTTGTTTTTGAAAAAGGCATTAAGTTCATTAAAACTGTTCTCCACAGCTCATAGGAAAGCTACCGACATGATCATCTAGTGGATTGTTAGTTTGAACTACTTCCTTTTCTGGAAATAAGTTTCAGCAAGAAAATCAGAGTTTGAAATAAAAGCAGGGGACTAAGATGCAAAACAGAGATGCAAAGCTGATCTTTAAATATTCTTTGAGAAACCTTCACCCTGGGAGCTGGTGGCATGTGGGTCTATCATCTTCTCTCTCACACTGCCTTACTGAATACCTTAAACCTGAGAACTCTGTTACACTCTCCACACATTATAGTGTGCATCACGCCAAGATGCATTGCCCAGCTTTAGATTCTTCCCCTGCAACAGCCAGGTACAAACAGCCCCTGCCTCATCTGTCTTGCCTCTGGTTAGGGCCTACCACGACTGAGAGTCCAGAACAGTACCTTTAAGGTGAAGAATGCCATCTTTCACTTACTCTGTTAAAAGTCTACCCCCAAGACTTCAAAGCCTGCTCCACCAGCTGGTCTTTGCAGAATCTCACCTTGTTTTGTGAGCGCTTCTCTCAGAGCCAGGGTAATCATCTCTCTCTTTTCACCCTCCTCCTTCCTCCCAGTGTTCTCTCGAGCCAAGCTCGTTCCAACATCTCCTGCCTCGAGCTCACGTTCTCTCTGTTTAAAGAAAGTAAATTATAACATTTAGATTCAAGCATCACGTTTTAAACACTGTGGCACAGTTCAGCCGTGGATCTACTAAACTTAAAACTGATGCAAGTGCCCACACATGAATTCTTGCATTTGTGTAATCCTGCATTTTAGCCCTATTCCCAGCAGCTTATGACACTTCCAGAATTTAGGAAAGTACATTGAAAAAGGAAAAAAAAATCCCATGACATACTGCATTTGTTCTACTAACACAGCAATAAAATTCTTTAGGACATTTTAAGAAACAAGGTGTTTGAACCTCATCTGAGTGGAAGGACTCCAGCATTTAAGCCCAACTGCCCAATAACCTTATCTCTTTGCAGAACACAAACCGGAGGGAACAAACCATTTTGTGCCTGACACACAATTGCCTGGAGTAACAAGCAGTTATTGTCCCAATTATTTGGGACAGGTCAGGGATCACACATCACCACAAGGAGTCAGACAGTCCAGGAGTTTACAGAGTAGAAGTCACCTGAAAAGGCAGCCGAGCACACCATCAAAATTCAACTATCACCAGAGACCCTGCAAGAAAAGACTGTTCCTCCTCTGCCCCACAGTTGGCTCCAGGCACATGAGCTGCAACATCCCACCTAAGTTTAGCTTCCTGCAAATGCTGCTTTATAAGACATGGTTAAGCCCTTGGAGCTTACTTAAAACCAAAGGCAGGAATATCACATATTAGCATAAAGTTACAAGCGGGAGAACATAAGCACATAAGAAACTGTGAATCCCCCACTGTGTAAGTGTCACTTCTGAGACTTTATGGATATTTATTGTTTCATGTCTCCATAAAGAAGCATGAAAGTGCAAATAATTACTCTGGTATTTCATGCAACTTGTAATCTGTCAGTTCTTTATGGTTTTTTTGAAATATTAGAGGAGTTATGGATGAACAACAAACAAAAACCAACAGAGGACATTTTGTTTTCACAAAACTGAGGCTATTTCACATCCAAGACTCTTTTGTGCCAAAGACATCAAGTTCATACAAATGCTTCCAGTTTGAGTCTACCCACCAACTGTTAGTATCACTAAGGAAACCAGTGCTTTTGGCTTGCCAACCCATGTTCTTCAAAAACAGGGAAAGTAATCTAGCTGTTTCTAGGCACAAACAGATTTCTTTTGTACCTGAGCAAAATTTCAGAAAATTAAGGTGCCTCAGGAGCAAAAAAACCCAAACAAATCCACACAGACTCAGAGGTTCAAAGACAAAACAGAGTTCCTAATAAGCACTTAAGGGAAGAGGAAAGAAAAACATTTAGGGACGTTATTACCTTTCCTACTCATTTTGAATAAAACTTAGCTCACTGCTTCTGTGAGGTTGTGCAGTGAGGTATTTTCTAATGACCAGTAACACAATGTGGTCCTTACCAAAGAAAAGAGCTGTTTCCATCTTCTACTTCCTTTCACTCAGTTTGCTGAGTTCTTAGGCAGAATTTCATTGGTTTCTATAATGCATCAAAACATCCCTGAAAGGCTAACTCTATTAAGTACTTGTCACTTGTTGGCTTTAAAAGCTCATTTCTTGAGACTCTATCTTCATTTATCAGCAAGATGCTTCAGCAGTAAAATATTAATATTACTGGAAAAGCCTCATGCATAAGGAAGGAGAGAGATAAAATCCTCATCTTTTAACTATTAAGCCTTAAATAAAGAGCTTCTCCTCCCACAAGTATCATTTAACCCAGAACTAGGACCAGCCATCTACTTAAAAAGGGAAGGCACTATCTTAGCAGAGATTTGTTAACTACTCAAGGCAAAATGCCATGCAGGATTTACCTCACCTATCTGCTCTATCATCTCATGTCAGGTTAATTCTCTCAGAAGAACTAAATATGCATTATGGGGCACATCATAATATGAAGAATGCAGAAACTGACTTCAGTACAAGCGAGCCATCCCATCCAAGACAGCCTTCAGATACAGAAAACGTCCTTCTGAATGTAAAAGGTTTGCATTTCTACCTGCCTACTGCGCCTGTTACTGCAATATCTGAGGAAAATCCCCAAACATAAGAACAACAAATAAAATTGCCTTACTGGCAGGGCAGAAACATTTATTTCAATAATCATTTTTCCCTTCACAGAGATGATATTTTTCCCCTCTCTCATCCTGATGTGAAAGCCTATAAACAAAATAATCATTTGTTTTTCTCTGAACTGCAATACCTGCCTTGTTCGGTTTGGGAAGCAATTGGCTTCAGATATTTCTCATGGGAAATGGAATTCACAGCACCGGGAGTTTTACTTATTTGCTTAATAAACCTTTCATATATATTATTTAGAGTTTGAGTGGAGAGAACAAAGTTAACTTTACACAGAGCAAACTTCTCAAGTTCTGGTGATTTAGCAGAAAGCCCTATAGTAAATCTAAGGCAAATTACTGTCTTTCCATAACAAAGCAAGCAAGTAGTGACAAGAGGCAGCTTTTCATGCCTTCGAAATACTTCACTGCTGAAAAACTGAAGAGTCATCCTCTGGTCTGTGTTCACAAACAAGAGCACCCACAGAAGAGAAAACCTTGGGAATACACTTCGCTTTCTCAGCAGCAGGAGTCTCAGCGCAGCTCTTGCTGCAGCCTGCTGGAGCGGGGATTTTTGCTGCTCCCACTGAAGCAGACCTGAATAAAAGCAATTGAACTTCACGTGTAAGGACTTCGGATCACCTCCTCTACAGGTGAGAGCAAGAAAAAAAGAAAATCTTTTCCCTTTTATTGCTATACAAGCAGCACAACAGGCAGAGGTGGCACATACTTCATGGGCAGGCACAGGAAGCCCATTTTTGATGGCTCAAGAGGAGAGGGGATCCAAGAGACACATGCAAGAACCTCAGCATTCCCTGCCAAGGCAGAGGTGCTGCTGCCCCTCCGACAAATCACAGTTCAAGTGTTTGAAAGGATTTCCTATGAATATGCCTACCCACCACATCCAAATACAGCCAACAGGACATGCTTCTGCCAATTCTCTGCTTTGAAGTGCTCTCGGCAGGACATCAAGGTGCCCCATCACTCCCTGTTGTCTGGTTTATTACATCAAATGCTCTTCAAACTAAGACTGTGGGGGTGAGAAAATTAGAAAAAAAGACACTCATGCAAAAGAAGTGTTCCCTGAACTACCTTAAATTATCATTTTTAGCCTCATGGCTCTACTTATTGATGTGCCACAGCTGAAAAAACATGCTCCCCAGAGAAATTTTTACTCCTGGAAGGAAAGTGACACCCAGAATATCCCAATTTTGACTGAACTTCTTTCCTACTTAACCTCCCAGTGGTCAAACAAGAGTCAACTCCTGGCCCTGTCATGATTTACAGCCTCATCCATCAAAAGGCTCCAGGATCTTTTAACAAATGAAAAGCATAAACATTAAGAAAACAGTAACACATTGGGGGCTGGAGCCAAGACTAACAGAACCAGTGCTAAGGGAAAATATTGGCAAAGCTTTCAGGAAAAGACTGCCTGGCAGCAAGAAATATTAGTAAAACTTTCCCAGGGGAGTGATTAAATGAAGTATTAGAGTTCATGAATTCCATGAATGAAGAGTTAAAGTTCACACCAAGCAGAGCTCTGGAAGTGATACTCCAGCTAGAAAAGCTGACAACTCTTCTCCTATTTCAGGCTCATCTGTCAGCAACACCATAGGCAGGAACCACGTGAGGGTTTTTGGAAAGTTGATTAGACACCAGGCTGCCCACAGGAACAGCACTTTTTTCCTTAGAAAGCAACCTTCCTGCAAAGCTAAAACACATGGAAAAAGAATGGGACAGGCAGTAGGCTTGCACAAAGATACTCTTGAACACAAGAGAAGAGTAGTAGAAGATCACTAGTGTACTGTGGGGACCTTCCTGCTCCAGGGAGAAAGCTCTGGCTGTCACAACCCGACCATAACAAACGGAGACACAACTGCAATTTGCTCAGTCCGTGGATGAAACACCCTGCCAATCTTACAGTGACGCGGGATACTAACTGCTGTCAGTCACCAATAAAGCTGGCTTAGAGCATTTGCAAGTGAGCACAATGATGAATACTGGAAGCTTGGATTGAGTAATCAGTGAACCAGCAAACACCCCGACAGCAAGAAAATCTTATTAAAAATAGCTACTAGAGTCTACATAATCACAGGCTACGTATCCACTCCATACATCGCTGCTCAGTTAAGCACAAAAGCCTGAACTGAAGCAAAAAGCAGACAAGGGTTGAAAGCATGAGAGCTGAGAGATGGGGAACTTGGCAATCCATTACCTTGCCATGACTGAAATAGGAGCTGCCTTGATCAAAAGCAAAAATCGTGGCATGGGTTTGCAAGAAGTGTCCCTGAAATGGGCAAGTCCAGGAGAAGTTCTGACTGATACCAACAACAAACAACCCCAAAACCTACCAAACAAAAGAAACCCCAAACAAAACACTCAGAAGCAAGATTGTTTTCCCCTGGAATCAAAACCTTTGAATTTTCAACAAGCTGAAAGGAAGTCTCCATCCAGATCTACGTCACTATGCTGTAGAAAAACAGAAGGTCCCTCACGTTGTTGTGAGGCAGCAAGTACCAGCTGCCACCCAAGGAAAGGACACTATTCAAGTGGATCTGCAGCTCAGCCCCCGCAGAGGGAATCCTGCGTTTTCTTTTGTTTGAAAAGCCAACGGTGAGATTTTTTGGACATATACAACAGCATTTTAAAGCCCAAACTCACACAGACAAGAAGTGACAGAAGACTTATGCTGCTATCCAAGTGAATCAGTCTGAAAGGGCGCTGTGCAGCTTCTGTGAAATGCAGAAGGATAAATGATCCCACCAGCATCCGTTTTCTTGTAGGTTCCACATCAGCCAGAATCCTCAAGGACAAAAAAATTCCCAGATCACAACTCTAGAAATATATCTGCATGGCTACAGTGGGGTTTAAGATTGCTCCACTGGGCTATAACATCACTGCTCTGCTGTAGGGAAGGTTTTACAAGGTGTCGTTAAACCACA